TCTGCCTCCCAGGTTCAGGCAATTCTTGCCTCAGCCTCTCGAGTACCCAGGATACAGGCGCCAGCCACTAACCTGGGCTAATTTTTGTATTTTTAGTAGAGACAGGATTTCACCATGTTGGCCAGGATAGTCTTGAACTCCTGACTTCTTGATCCACTGGCCTCAGCCTGCCAAAGTGCTGGGATTGCAAGTGTGAGCCATTGTGCCCAGCCGAGGAGTTATAATTTTTAAGGGTTTGGGAGTGGGCCAAAGTTTGGAGACTGCCAATTGATTGAGGAGTGCAGAGTCAAGCCAGGGGGCAGGGAGATGAAGAAGCCATAGTCTCATGCTGATCCCGTTCGTCTGCAGGGGTCTTCAAACAAGTTGCTAGAATTCAGGGTCTGAAAAGCATCTTAAGTGATCCTCAAACGAAAGCCATGTGATTCTAATGCCAGGGATCTGGTCTATAGGAACGATAGGGATGCAGTGGGAAATGATTCTTAAACAGTCCAGAATTCCTGCCAGTAGGAGCAATAAAGATGCACACGGTCAGTATGTGACCTTTAGCGACAAGAAAGCGGGCCAAAGTGTAGCCTGATTAATGCCTAATTATAACTATATTTCTTTCTGTCCAGAGCCTGGCAGGCAATTCTTGTCAACCCTGTGGGGATAATCTCACAAGGGTAACCACTACTGTGACTTCAAACACCATAATTTGTTTTACCTGTTCTTGAACTTCACATGAATGGGATCATGTAGCATCTTCTTTTTTTTGTGGTTGTTTGGCTTCTTTTTTCATTATGATGTATGTGATATTCATCCATGTTGTTGTACAAGTTTGTTCATTCTCTCTCTTTTTCTCATTTTAAGATGGAGTCTTGCTCTGTTGCCCAGGCTGGGGTGCAGTGGCACAATCTCGGCTTACTGCAACCTGCACCTCTTGGGTTCAAGCAGTTCTCCTGCCTCAGCCTCCCGAGTAGCTGGTATTACAGGTGTGTGCCACCATGCCAGGCTAATTTTTATATTTTTAGTAGAGATGGGGTTTCGGCCTGTTGGCCAGGCTGGTCTCGAACTCCTGACTTCAGGTGATCTGCCCACCTTGGCCTCTTAAAGTGCTGGGATTACAGGTGTGAGCTACAGTGACTGGCCTACATCTTCTTTATTATTTCTTTCTTTTTCTTTCTTTCTCTTTTCAGAAAAATGTCTTGGAGACGTAGGAGATGATGAAATAACATCTAGGATTAACATCCTAGGAGGAGCCTTGGAGAGCTGCGAATACCCTAATAATAAATTTTTTCGCAGGGCACATCCTGTGTCTTTAGCTTTGCATTGTATTTCTGATTCTAATGAGAACAAAAAATAGAGAAGGAGGAGCCAGGCATACAGCTGAGTTCAATCTCACACACCAAGAGAAGGAAACTGAGGCCCAGAGAGATAAGGCCACCCAGCCTTACTAGATCCTTTTACCAAGCTATCCAAAAACAGCAGCAGAGACTAAAAACACACTTTACTGGAACCCAAAGAGTTTTTTTCTAAGTCAAGCTAACCCAGCCTCAATCAATAGAGCCAGTGAGAAAACGTTGACTCTCAAAATTTTGCTCTTCCTTCAGATGCAGTCTCTTTCCTGAAACTTTTTGGATCTTTCCAGCCAGAGTCAATCCTTTCCTCTTATTTCTGTCCTGGATTGGGTTGCAGCATTTACCGGATTCTCTCTTGGACTATTTGTATGTATGTCTTGTCTCCTGAGATACGTGGAAAACTCCTGGGAAGACAGGCTTGGCTTGTTTCTTTTTGTTGGGGATGGTGAGAGGAAGGCTTATATAAATTAGCTGCTCAGTAAAAGTCCAAATTGAGTTGTGTTGCTTCTAAGGAGAAAGGACCTGAGAAACTCTGCGTTTCATGAAGCAATTGACAGGCATATTCATATTGAATTTACAAATGTCTTTGTTTTGCGGTAGTACACATTTGAAAATAAGATCGAGGGCACCAGAGTCTTTGTAGATAAAGAGACCATGGAATGTACTTTCTTGGTAGGATGCTCAAGGATGTGACGGCTGTTCTCCCTGCCACACCCAAAGTTGGTGACTAACTCCTTTCCTGCTTCTGTGTCGCTTCGTGGTTCCAGTGTAGACTCAAGAGCTGCTCTGGGCAGTCTTGGAATTCTTAAGCTAGAGTAGAGGAATGAAGAGGAACTGAAAGAGTCAGAATGCCATGGCATGGGAAGGCTAAGGTCTCCTGCCTCCTTCTTCCTTCCTGCTTCTTGCCCTGGGGTCTCAGGTCCCCACCTGGCAGCTACAGCAGCGTGACAGTAGCAGCAAGGGTGTGTACATGCATCTTTCCTCAGCTTCCCATGCTGTTGGTCCATCCTGCCCTGCCCTTACTCCTCCACCCCTCACCCTTCCTGCACACGAGGTGACTGCAGAATGGCAGGGCACAGGGTGTGGGCAAAACGTGTCCTGTCACCACTTGGGCAGGGCTCAGCCTTGGAACACAGAAGTACTTAAAGTCCCCAGGGCTGTCATACACCAAGATCCAGGAGTTATACATTCGTATGCCCTTTAAGGGAGCAGTCCTGACTGCAGAAGGAATTTCTTTGGACTTGGGAATGTGAATAGAATAAAATCTTTTCTCTCAGTCTGTTAAGTCGTCCCCATGACAGACTGAGAAAGCCTGGGGAAGAGCTATGGAAGGGCTAAGTCTTTTCTGATTCCTGATCCTTAGAGGGAGAGGAGGGAATTGTGGGAAGTAGGAAAGTCCCTTTTTAAAGTTTCCTTTCTTGTTAAAGAATAAATTGCAAGTGTGCTAATAACTTTGTTAAGCCCTATCCTATGTAGCTGTTAAACATGCCATGCTTACAGGCATATAGTACATTCAATGTCCTTGTACTTTAACCAAGATATCTGTGCTGGGCGTGCTCACAGCCATGTCCCAGCTTTCCATTGCTTTTACCTGTTTAGAAAAGTTTTAAGTTGATAGCCGACAGGTTTTAGTTTAGATTGTGAGGTCTGGCTCTAGCCAACGGAGATCAGACACAGCAGTAAGGACAACCCCCAAATGCATAAGGGATACATTTGTGTGCTTTCCTTTGTTAATTATATTCTCATGGTATGTTGGCTAACAAGGGTACCCTTCCTGCAGTCCAGGAAGTAAAAATTACATTGCTGAAAGATCCTTTGTCTCAGTGCTAATTTTTCTTCGTGGTACTGAGCACTGAGCATCTATTCCCACAGGGAAGGAGAAAGGGGGAAAGGCTTACAGACTCCTAAATATATATATTTTTAGCTCATTAGGACCGTATTGTCAAGTTTTTTTATGTATAATTTTTTAAATAGAGATGGGTTTCACTATGTTGCTCAGGCTGGTCTCAAACTCCTAGGCTAAAGCAGTCCTCCCATCTCAGCCTCCCAGAGTGCTGGGATTACAGGCATGAGCCACTGTGTGCCTGGCCCATATTGCCAAATTAATGGAAAGGAAATACAGAACCAGAGAAACCAAATAACTGGTTAGAAGCAAAACTTGAACTAGAAACCAGATCATGAAACATAGGAACTGCAAGGGAAACAGGGATGAGGAAAAGCAGATTATTGATCACACGCACATGAGACACTGTGCAGGGTTTGTGTGTGTGCCTCCCCATTTCCTCTGTGTAATTATCTTATTAAATCAACATCACATCGTTTTAAAGGTTCGGTCATTTTTTTAAAGGAAGTGCCAACCATTTGCCTGGCACAGTACTTGGCACTGGGGGCACAATGAAGATCAAGTTCAATGTCAAGGTGGTCCCTGCCCCGTAGTGCTTGTTATGGCTGAGAATCAGGTAAGGAGGCAGTTATTATGCATTTTGTGGTTATAATAGAAGTTCAGAATGCTTTGGGAGCACTGCGGCAGGTCCTGCCTCAGACTGGGGAAAGTCAGGGAGGACTTCTGAAGAAGCTTTCAGGCCTCAAAGTGAGAAGAGAATGGGATGTGAGGATACAGGTGGGTGGGTAGGAAAGATAGGAAATGAGGCCAGAGGGGTAGGCAGGTCCCAGACTCCAGGGCACCTGGTCTGACGTTTGCATTTCACCTAAGAAGAAGATTCAAGGTGGAGGCCATTGGAAGGTTTTAAGTGACAGGGATGACCGGATGAGATGTCCTTATTCTTTCTTTATTTCTTCCCTTATTCCTTCCTTTCTTTCTTTCTTCCTTTCTTCCTTTCTTTCTCTCTCTCTCTCTTTCTTTCTTTCCTTTTCTTTCTTTCTAACAGAGTTTCACTCTTGTCACCCAGGCTGGAGTGCAATGGCATGATCTGGGCTCACTGCAACCTCCACCTCCCAGGTTCAAGAGATTCTCCTGTCTCAGTCTTCTGAGTAGCTGGGATTACAGGAACCCACTACCATGCCTGGCTAATTTTTAGTAGAGACGGTGTTTCACCATGTTGGCCAGGCTGGTCTCGAACTCCTGACCTCAAGTAATCCACCCACCTCCACCTTCCAAAGTGCTGAGATTACAGGATGAGCCACCACTCCCGGCCTTTTTTAAAATTTTATTTTTTAAAGACTGGGTCTCTCTGTTGCCCAGACTGGAGTGCAGTGTGTGATCGTGGCTCACTCGAGCCTCAACCTCTGGGGCTCAACTGATCCTCTGTCTTCAGCCTCCTGAGTAGCTAGGACTGCAGGCATGCATCACCACACCTGGTTAATTTTTTATTTTCATAGAGATGGGGTCTCAATATGTTGCCCAGTCTGGTCTCAAACTCCTGGCCTCAAGTGATCCTACTGCCTCAGTCTCCCAAAATGCTTGGATTGCAGGTGTGAACCACCATGCCTAGCCAGATGTCCCAATTTTAAAAGAAACTTTGGTTTTGGTGTGGAGGGCGGGCTGGAGGGAGCAGGACTAGAAGGAAGGAGATGAGCTGGGAACGGCAGTGATTCACAGCAGTGAGAATAGCAGCTAGCTAGGACAGTGTCGGGAGAAACAGGGAGAAATGGATGCACTGAAGCAATTGATTTAGGTGTTAGAAACCATCAGGACTTAGTGACTGTTCGCTCTGAGGGGTGGGGAGCTAGAGGGATCCAGGATGACTCCCAGTTTTTGTCTTAGGCCATGTCATCATCGGAGTGCCACCATCTACTCAGTTGTCCAAATGAGATAATGGAAGCTCACAGAAGTATTTATCTCAGGTCAGTCAGCTCATAATTGATAGAGCTAGGGCTCAACACTAGCCTTGATTGACACCTTCCTAATTCCACCAATGCCAGCATTTTCCTGTTTATAACTGTCTGGACAATACCCATGAACAGCTTTGGCTGAGGTACACAGCTGTGCTTTCTGGAGCCGTGGGCTTCTGCAATGGTTCATGTACATTTATTCTGAGCTTTAGCAGTTCATTTGAAAGAAATGTTAAGAATCTGCCCTACCCAATCCCCCAAAGCTCTGCACTATCCCAAAAGGCAGCCTGGGTTAATGAAGGAAGCACTCACTTGGGTTAGGAGACTTGGGTTCAAGTCCTGGTCCTGCCAGGCGACATACCTTCTCTGGGCCTCAGTTTCCCAATCCTTGAATGAAGAGGTTGGGTCATTTGATCTCTAACAACCATTTCAGCACCAGTTGCTAAGATCTGCATGTCTGGGGAACAGGGAACATGCTTAATTACGGTATAGGCCAGAGGCATTCTGAAGGCCACTTGGTTTGATTTCTAAGTGATATGTTAGCCTCCTCTAAAGTGGTCCCAGCTGTGGCCTATGTAAGTTGGGGCAGGCATGGGCCCCATGACACATTGATCAAATCAGAATTGTCGGAGCAGGGCTGCAGAGTAGCCTCCTGAAATGTGCACCAGCGATCCCAGTGTGGAGTGAGGTTTGAGAACCACTGTCTTGGAGGATGCTGGGAGATCGCCAGGGTGTGTATTACCCACAGGAAGCCAGTGAGAATGACTGGGAGCCTCCGTGGAGGAGAAATCAGCCCAGGGAAGAACCAGATATTCCAGAGCCGGATATTCCAGAGGGAAGCACATGCTCAGCTGAGAAGTAATCCTGACTCAGTCTCTACAATATGTTCCTGGTGCCACAGGAAATAAGTAGGTGGGGATAGAAGCACGAGTTCTGGCCTTTTCCATCTGCGAGCCCGTCTCCTCCAGTCCCTTCAAAGCACCTCCCATCTCGGCTCCTCACAGCCTCAGACGCGCAGTGCTGAGCTCATCAGGCCCAGACGGTGAAGCGCCTTGCTACAAGTCATGGGAGAGAAGACAGCAGAAAATAACTCTGGGTTGTTCTGAGTAAGGCGAGAATACATCTGGTCAAGAGATGAGGGAGGGGCCGGGCACAGTGGCTCCCACCTATA